CTCAAAGAGAAGAATAGTTTCGTAACAGTTTTATATATAGTTCAAGCAATATCAAAGTGGTAAAAAGCGGCATTTAGCACATTAGGCTCAAACACGTAAAAAAAAATCAGATAATAAACAAAAGCCAGGTATAAAAGTTATTCTAAGCTCGAATTCTGAACCCTGAACCAGAAGTTCAAGGTTCTTGTCCTTAGCAGAGTCGCCAGAGCTGTCACACCTTTTTTTTCCCGAGAGGATAGGGGAGTTTTTCCAATTAAAGTGACATTAATCGAAATAAGATTATTTATTTATTCAGAATCGCCACTTGGAATAATTTATGGTGTCCCAAGTCACAGGTTTATTTTAAAATCCCAAATTGAGGAAATTGACTCTATTCATGGTCTGCAAACACAGAAGACCGGGTAAGAAATTTTATTAACCCGGGAGAAGGTGTGAGGCACTTTCGAGTTCCGTGATTTTAGCACGGTCGCTTAACAACTAATATCTGGCTTAATTATCTAATTTATTATATATTTTAAACCTATTTTGCATTTTGTTTTACTTTCAACCGCTTTTAGTTATTTATGGAATTTGTCTAAACAAGTCGCGATGTCGCACACTCATTTATTTTTGTACACATTGCGAACCGCGCTACGTGAAACGCACCCGCGATTTACAACATGTTAATTTTTATTATTATTTGAAGTTCTGGTCGAGTCACGTGAAACGTACACTCGAATTGAGATTTATGTATCGCGACTATGCCACGGGATACGTACCCATTGCTACGATGATTATTATTAATCGCGCCTAAAGCAAGCTACGATGTTTGTGATTTATTTCCTAATCTAATTTGAAATTATTGTAAGGCATGATTTATGGATATAACATTGTGGACAGAAATGGATGCGGCTTGTAATGTCAAAATTTAAAAAAATACAAATAAAATTGTAAAAAGAAAAAAAAAGTCCAACACTTTCCAATGTCAAAATTACTACTCACGTATGCTAATTTTATCTAAAGCCGCAATTCTCTTAATTCAAGTTTACCAACAAAGACCAACGCCTAACCCAACAAAACCAAAGTTTATACAAACACACACAGACCATTTAAATGCAAAATTGTTTGATCAATTCTATCTATGAGTCTAACTAAGATAAAAGTTTAACCAAAAATCCATACAACTCAATATTCTCTACTGTTGACATTACTGATTTTTATTCAATATAAGATCCCATTTGAGATTTCATCAAACTAAAATAAGATTAACTTCAAACATTAACCCAGGAAACAAAGAAATAATCAGATTAAACGACTAAGCATCAATAAAAGTAAAATAAAATTTTATGTCGTCTATTCATTTATGCCGACAAATAACGAGACACATAGATGAAATAACCAGTGAAAAAGATGGAAGAACATACCTTCTATTGCTGAAATTTTAGAGCGGATACAATGGAAATAGAAGCTCTAGAACAGTAATCCTCAAGCGAGCTACGGACTAAAACCTTGGACAGAAATCGACGTTGCCGAACAGACTCATCTCTACCGGCTTTGGATGGTGTTTTCAAGCTGATTTTCATACTGGGTTGGGGCGTTTTTGTGATGATATGAGAAAATGAGAGAATGATTTGAAGATTTCCTTCTTTTGTATATTCAACAGAAACTGTGTTTTTTCACTGTACATACCTAGGATTATATACAAAAGGGACGAAATTGTACATAAAATAAAATATAAGGAAGGAAAAAATAATTAATTAAAAATACATTGTATAATGTGCTAGCACTATGGGAATATTATGGAACAATGTAAGAATGAGAATAAACAATTAAAGTACATGGTGTAATGTGCTGAGCACTAGGGGAATATTTTTGAACAATGTAGTAATTGTACTTCTTAATTAGAAAATCCTAGACATTTTTCTGCAAAGTTTCATCGTCTCCAACATGATATAAGGCTGATTTTACGTGACTGAAACAAAGGATTGTTAACCGGCAATTTTTGATCAAAGAAGGAGTGATTTTGGGGTTGGTTTTGTGATCGTTTTACTATTGTATTTTGGGTGAATTTGAGATCTGTTTTGGGGATCTTTAAATGGTACTTTGGAGCTAGAGAAGGTGCTTTCTCTTTTCTCTGTATTTTGTGTGTTTCTTTTTAGTTCAGGGAAAGAGATGATGGAGAATTCTCTTATGAGGGGTGCCGGCTGGCTTTTTGTCAAAGGGAGGGGGTTCTGTCCGTTCTCCTTCTCATGGGATTGTGGAGATGGTGTGTTTTTGTTAGAGAGGGAGGTGAATGGGGGACAAGCATGGGGGACAAGAAAAAGTGGAGGGGGGACAAAGAGTAGGGAGCAAGGAAAAGTGGAGTGAGAAGTGAAGTATTGGTGAGATAAGTGAAAAAAAATTCAAGTATGGTCAAAAATTAGATACTCATAGTGTGCATGGCAGCAGTAGCTGTGATGCTAACGCCCCAAGCAGACGCTGCCATCTCTTGTAGGCAGGTTGTTACGAGCTTGTCACCTTGCATCAGCTATGTGAGGCAAGGTGGTGCTCTTCCAGCACCATGCTGCAGTGGGATTAAGGCCCTCAACAGCCAAGCTACCACCACTCCTGATCGTCAGGCGGCGTGTATCTGTATTAAATCTGCTGCTGCAGGTGTCAGTGGCATCAACTTCAGTCTTGCTGGTAGTCTCCCTAGCAAATGTGGTGTCAACCTTCCCTACAAGATTAGCCCTTCCATTGACTGCTCCACGTAAGTATTCACTCCGTATCAGTTTCATTTATGTTAATTTTAGCTACAACACTTGTTACGAAATTTTAGAATATATGAGAAAGACTTTTAAACTAAATATATGTATGGCATAACAAAAATTATTATTTCCGCTTTTCTTAATTATTTTGGTTGATTATGAATATTGCAGGGTGCAGTAAGATTTGTGAAATAATTTATGCATGGTAGCAAGACGCAGAATATATAGGGCATACAAGATGGAATAAATAATACTAGTTGCTTGGACTAGATGGATGAAGTTTTCGCAGCACTCTTTATGTTTCCTTTAATTTGTTCGGACGTCAATTTTATAGTCTAGTAGTTGTGTGTATGTTCATCATCTTGCTATTAAGAGCTTCATAAAATTGTACCCTTTCCATTTCAATCTATTGAATATATGATATCCTGCTACTTTTAGTAATTTATGCTCTAGTGGAATGAGTATCCATACATGACTTTCTTTCTTTTAGGGAGTCTAGCATTAGATCTCTTTAAACGGGCCAATTCTTAAGTTCTCTTAATTTTAGCAGTACGTCAGATTCTGCTCCCAGCTTTCTACATATGCATCTTCTAAAACCACGATTTTTATCGGTTGTAGAAAAGAAAGAAACTTCATAAAAGTAGAAATAGGAAAAAATAAAAATGCCAAGAAACTTTCTTCTAAGGATATAAAATAATTGATATAAGGCTTTATCTTCTTTATACTTAATTTTGAGCGTAACTACAAAGCGTTTCCATCTATAATCATATTATAACCTCGAACTTGCCCCTCCTTTCTGAACACACACCAAAATTTAGAAGCAACCCGGAAAGTTGGAAAAACTAGTTCTATGAGAAATGAAACAAGGAAGTTGGAAACCATATTTAAGTATTCACAACTCACAAGTATAAATATGCATGAGCGGATCCATAATTTTAACTCATTGAACGTTTAAAATTATGGGTCCAAATATTTTATAGAAAATTATAATAATGAAAATGAAATTCATATTAGCTCTATTTTATGTAAATATTTACACTATTTTATTTCATCAATATGTAAAATTCGTATACATGTTTATCTTTTCTTTTACGATTAAACAAAATTATGTTTATATTTATACTTGTTACTAACATACAGAGGGGGTAATTTCTTAAACTCCTGTGCGGCCAAATTTTGACACATAACTGAAAGGGAGAGGGTAATTATTAAATCAAATAGAACATCAAGGGGTCCTTAACGTACTAGGCTACTAGCACATTCCCTCAGAATGCATCTGATCTGTTCCATCTTTCACCTAACATGACATGAACATGTTATAGCTGGAAGGGGTAGTTGGAAAAGTAAAAGAAATTACAGAAATGCAAGAACTTATACTGTTCAGGGGTCATTTGGTTGTAAAGTGGGATATTCAGGGATTAATAATTTTCAAATTATAATCCTGAGATTCTTATTCTACATTCTATTTGTGATAGTTAATACCACTAATTTGGTATAAAATTTGTATCAGTATTAACTAATATCCATAATCAAACTTGGGACAATTACAACCCAAACTCTATCTTGAGATTATAATCCTAATCCTGATAACCAAACGACGCCTAAGAATTAAAAGACTTACAGTTCTCCCACCCAGCCAACAAGTTATGATGGATAATGCCATATACGAAAGTACAACTGGAAACATCTAAAGTAAAAGTTCTAGTATCATAAAAGTAAAAGATTATCTGGACTGTTCACAACAAATCATATCACTAATCCCTACACGATTTCCTTAAATAGAAGAATAAAGCTAGTATTATCATTAATCTTAGTGAACATGACCATCAAGGTTTTTGAATATGGACACAGGACAGTAGAGTTTTATCTAGTACTATTTGCATCTAGAAATCATGTAAATCCCTATATAGATTCAACGTAACGTTTTATTTTATACCAGTTCATAGAAATATACTACCTTTTAGCGAGAAATATTTGGTATTAATTGGAAAAGGAAACAGTGTCAATTAAATTGGAACATAATGTGTGTACTAATAATTAGACCACCAAGATATATAAAAAGGGGAAAACAACAAAAGCAAATAAGAAGATGAAAGGAAAAATAGCCAAGACTTAACAAAATCTAGCTAGTGATTCGTACACTAAAATTAAATTAGGTCCCCCCCNTGTACTCAACTACCAACCGTCCAAGAATCCAGCTAGTGAGAATAATAACTCTGCAGACAACAATATACTTAGTTACAAATTCTTCTATATAATAAAGAGCTCTTTCACAACCCTTCTTCACACACCAAGTAGAATTTGCATAAACAAAACACTATTTCCCTTGTTAGCAAATACTCATCTTAAAACTAGCTCATTCAAAAATGGTGAAGGTAGCATTGTTGGTAGTAATGTGCATTGCAGCAGCAACGTCTGTAATGCTAACTCCTCATGCAGATGCTGCCATCTCATGTGGGCAAGTTGTTACGAGGTTGTCACCTTGCATCAACTACGTGAGGCAAGGTGGAGCTCTTCCAGCACCATGCTGCAGTGGGATTAAGGCCCTCAACAACCAAGCTACCACCACTCCTGATCGCCAGGCGGCGTGTAACTGTATTAAATCTGCTGCTGCAAGCATCAGTGGCATCAACTTCAATCTTGCTGGTAGTCTCCCTAGCAAATGTGGTGTCAACCTTCCCTACAAGATTAGCCCTTCCATTGACTGCTCCACGTACGTATCTAATACGCACCTTTAATTTTGTAATACTACATGAGTACTGCAGGTTAACACCCTCTTCATTACGCTTTTGAAAATTAATAATCCTGGCTGCACATAAAATATATAAATATTTTTGTCATTTCATTCTTCTCTTTTTCAATTAGATGCCTTTCGCCTCTCCAGAAAAAAAAATACTGCCACCACTTTTTCCTCCATTCCTCCTTAGGACCTATTATTGGTTTTCTCCTACAATTGAGTCTCATAAGTCACGTGTCAAATAAACAAGTATGCCTCACATAATAACTACTTTGGTTTAGATGTACAAATTAATATGACTCTCAAGTAATAAAAATGCGAGGTTAACTTAAAGGGCAAATCATGGAAAAACAGTCAATATGTTAGCAAAACCCAAAATTTAATTTTAAATGTATACTAATTTAAAGACTGAATCTATGATTAAAAAAAAATGAATTATAAGATTGAAACTGCTTTGAGCTTCAACTTACCAGAAATTACACCATTGAGTTTGTTCATTTTTCTCTAATTCTTCTTTGGTCGTCGGTTTATAAATGTTGCAGGGTGCAGTAAGATTTGTGAGTGACCTTATTAAGGGTAGCAGGATGAAGGATATGGGACATACGAGATGGAATAAATATGATGCGTTCTTGGAGAAGATGGATGAAGCTTTTGTTGCATCTTCTAATGTTTCGATCATTTCTAGTTTAGTAGTACTCATGTATGTTCACTATCTTTCTCTTCAAAAGATTGTACCCTTTCAATTTATTGAATACTATGATATCCTGCTACTTGTAGTAATTTCTTCTCTTTTTTTCCAATTTTATCTCTATTTACCCTCAAAATTGGATAACAATTGAATTTGTAAGTGGTTTTAAGGATACGTGAACTAACTTGACACAAAACGATAAATTAAATTGCAATTAAAATAAATAATGATAAAGTAAATGCAAACCACACGAATTGAACAATCTTAGTCATGAGAGGTTAATCACCCTCGAATCAGGTGCGCTCCGATCGGTGCCAGGATACAGAAGAACAAGAGCTTAAAATAATAATGGTATATAGCTTTGGAATGTGTGTTACAATGTATCTAATGAATTATCAGACCCCCTTTATATAGTAGATGAGTCCTACTTTAGGTAAAATTCTATAAAAGGTAAAAAATCTCTTGATTTGATGATTGTCGGTGCCTTGTTGATACGTGCCGAGATTCCCGCCGTAATATCCGACCGATCACGAATATTTCGGTCTTCTGTTGGTTATGCCAACAACGTTTCTTCGAGCTCGATCGGGGCTAAGGTCGACTCCGGGATTACGGACTCAATGTTCTCGAAGGCGGGCGTTATGACCCCGGGTTCTAGCTCGGTGGGACTCGGGTCGATCTTCAGTCTTTGGTTGTCATGTTCCTAACTTGTCATGTCGTAGGCGAGCTCGATTTCGACCGTACACAGATAGTCCCCTCGTTTTTCGGAGAGTAGACGACGAGAAACGACATGAGCTTCCGATTCTTTCTTTGATATCACCCGACAAAAACGACAAAACCGTCAAAATATCTCGTCAATCTAGTCTTAATGGCATTAAACGCTTGTCAATTGCTGGTCGGCCACTCCTAAATATGAATCGTCATTGGAAAACTATAAATACCCCCTCATTTGTTCATCCAAACTTTACATTCAAACCTTCTGCCCTCGTTCCTAAGAAATTTCAATACTTCCAAGTACTTATATTCTCGTTACTTTGAGATTTTTTATAAGAACTCTCATTCGACTTTTTCTCAAACCATTGAGTGAACTCTTTTAACTTCCTCTTTTTTCTTATTTCCTCTCTATAAAGAAATGCCAAAAACTTCAAAAACCGTTTTCCAAAAAGAAACTCCTTCTATCTCGCGGCCGGCTACCGAAGAGACCAATTCATGCACTACTGTCAAGGAACCAGCACTGAAACATCCCGTAAAAATGTTCATCCCGGGGGGATGCCTGGTAATTGCTGATTTTAAAGTCGAAAAGCCCTCCTCCGTACTAGGCCGGTGTGAGGAGGTCTCGAGGTACATCTGCTCGATCACCGAGGATATTCTATCCGAAGTCAAGAAAGATTGCAGCTGGGATGACAAACATGTGGTGGTTCCCGAACCTAACGAAGCTATCACCACCCACGTCGAGGGATTCTTAAGTGTTTACACTTATCCCTTCATGTTGGGCCCCTTGGACCCGGTTATCGTCGATTTTTGCAAAAGATACGAGGTAACCCTCAGTCAAATTCATCCTTCCTTCTGGAGGATCGTAATTCTCCTCCATTTCTTTGTAAGCAATATTGAAAGGTGCCCTTCTACGATCGATCACCTCATGCGCTTATACAGTCCCCGACTCTATCAGAGGGGACTGATCAAGCTCGCCTGTCGGGCTAGTAAGGCCGCATTCTTGAGTGTCAATGAAGATAGGGATCGAGGTTGGCTAGGTCATTTCGTCCGAGTGAGAACCTCGGACTTGATCCCGGTCGAGCATATGTCGTTCCCTGAGAAGTGGAACATAAAACGCAAGTATATAATTTTGCTTCCAAAGTTTTATTTAATGCCTTTTTTCTTCCTTCTTATCGATGTTTTGTGATGGTGCAGTTGTTGCTCGGATCCCGAACGCAGTTCCTCGACTCAAGGAGTGGGTCGAGGGCATCGTATCGCAAAGGCCTTATTCTGAGCGCTCATGGCGCGAGCTTTCAAAGGGTCGATGGGAGGCCCGTTCGCACGGTGAGATCTCTTTCATAAGTGATATTTGGTTTCCCCTTTGCATGATTAAGTCCTTACTTATTTTATTTCCCTTTGCAGGTTTACCCAAGGATATCCAAATAAGGCCCCCATCTGGTAGTGATGATTTTTCCACTGCGTCCCCTGCTCCGAAACATGGTGAAGAGAAGAAGAGAAAAAGGGCTCAGAGTTCCCCGAGCTTGGAGAAAAAGAAACCAAAGAGGAGGCTTATCTGTAAGCCAAAAGAAACCTCCAGCTCCCGAATACTTGAGTCGGAATCCTTCTACCGGCTCTAGAATGAGTCGGAAGAGGAGGAAATTTTAGTGTCCCGGGAGCCATCGGTCCCTAAAGAACGGGCATCAACCGAAGAGGGGACGATAGAGGCCAACCCTTCCCAAACTCAAAAGGTCGACGCATCAGTGAGGGTCGAGAACCCTCAAGACGCCGGTTCTGCTCCATCAGGTGTCATCGATATAACAGAATCTCCTTCATTCACGGACTCAATGTTCGGTGAATCTCAAGCAGCGAAGGAGCGTTCAAATGAGGGGGTCCAAGGAGCGAACGATCCCCTCAAAAGCTTTTTTGATAGCGTGGACTCTATTACCACGGAGGATGTCACCGTTTGGGTGGTTTGGAAGTACCAAGAAGAAGTCCACCCTCGAGGACATGAGGATCTAGCTCGAGCCCGAGATTGGTCAATCGATTTCCTACCCCAAGTGTCAATCCCGGTCGGAAGCGGTCGATCATTATCTCTGTTCCATAGGACGCCCGGGTCCTTTCCACGCCTGTTGGGGTAGCTAGTTACCTCCGGTGCCTGGTGACTGATGAAGATCAGTCAAAGATAAACGAGGTGGAATCTCCATGCTTATTCAACGAAGCACAATAGGCATTGAATCGGGTAAGGTGTTACCAAACCTTTTCATTTTCCAGCTTTGGTTACTTAATGATCTTAATATTTTTTCTTGTATCTGCAGGCCTCGGTGTTTTATCATGAGACCTTCCTCTGATATCGAGAAGAGTTGAGTCTCCTCGAGGCCGAAGCCAAAGAGCTTACTAAGAAAAGAGATATGTACAAACTTCTCAGTGAGCAACGTGAGGGGGAGGTTAAGAGCCTCCGAGCTAAGCTGGAGGTGGATCGAAAGGAGCATGCCGACTTGGTCGAGCAGGTAAAAATATTTGAGCCTAGTGACGAAAAGCTAAGCTCGGTGACTAACGGTCGGAATCCGCAGGTCCAACAAAAAATCGATCAACTGCGAGCTGAGATGGATGCTGTCAAGGCCGAGACCGATGAATAGAGGGGCAGGATGGATCGTCTGGCCTCGGAAAAAGAGTCTGCCCGGGCTCAACTGACTTTCGCCGAAGTCCAGCTTCGAGCAGCAAAGGAAAAGGTCGAGGTATAGGCCAAAAAGGTTGAAGAGCTCCAGTCTCGGCTAAGTCCGGCTGCCTCAAATCGAAAAGTTATGGCCAAGGAACTAGAAACGACCAAGTTAGCGGCCGCGGTGGTTAAAGACGACGCCGACTAGATGGTGGCCAAATATAAGGCCGATGCCGAGGCGGCCCAGGACCGCTTGAAGGGCATTGTTGATTATAAGAAGCGGCAGTCGCGAAGAGAGGCCTCGAGGAGATTCATGCTCGGGGTTTTAATCTATCGATTGAGATTGAAGACGCTTAGGGGCTCGAGGCCTAGGCCAAGAAGTTGACCTACCCAGAAAAAGAAGAAGAAGAAGAAGACTTCGAGGGCTCCGATGGACCCGGGGGTGGAGAAGACCGGGCTATTTAGATGCCTTTGTAAAAAAATATTTGTTTTTTTGTTTTTTTTTTGTACTTGTGTACTTTTGTGTTTTTTTAGGGCCATTTGGCCTTTGTAAAGACAGTATATAATATACAAGGCTTTGTTTTTCCCTTCGACGGTTTAAGAATTTTGCTTTCCTTTGCTTTATTCATTATGTTTTGCAAAGATCGAAATGCCTTAGCATAAAATAGTTAAGTCATGTTCGGAGGTTCGAACAGGCCTTGCCTTAGACATTATTTTGTTTAAGGCATCGTTGGGGTTTGGTATGACCAGAAACGTTTTACCCCAAATTACTTATGATTTTTTGGATTATAGTTTGCCGAAAGTAGCCTTTAGAACCGGTTATGAAATTTTGAAGGCCTTATTTTTTATTACGGGTCTCGAACGTCTCTGAGCCATTTTAATATGGCCGTAGCCTTTAGCTCGGGTGTTTGCCAGTGGGCTTGTTACTCCGAGTTATCCGGACTAGCCTAAGATAATAGTTTCCGAATGGGAATGGCCGTAGCCTTTAAGGTTTGGGTGTTGCCTAATAGGGCTTGTGCCCTCGGGCTTTCTCAGCCCGAGCTGTCCGAGTTTGTTTTTGGACGATAGTCCCCGATTGGTAGTGATCGTTTGGACCTGGGTAAACGTGGCCCTTGGGCTCGATACCTTTAAGGGATCGGATGTAGGAAATTCCTTAAGATGAAAAAAGAAAAAAGAGAAATTCTTTAAGGGACAAGATATTTACCCGCAAAGTAGAAACTTCTTTTTATTCTTGTGCGTAATAGTTACACATGTGTACAAGTTTTGTGCCAGGGCTCGAGCAGTCTATGCCGGCACGATAATTTGACCGTTTGGACCTTACAGTAAATCATGTCGATCGATTCGAGGCCATTCAATCATAAAGTTTCCTTCCTTGTTAAAGTCATTATTCGAGGGTGATGCCCCTAGTGTTCGGGGCCGAGCGTAGAGAGGCCTCGAATACTGTTGTCGTGATTTTCGATACCGGTTCGTAACCGGCCTTCAATTCTAAGTTAGCACGATTTACTATTGCCTCGTTAAAAACCTTGCCGGAAAACCCATTTGGGACAAAACGGTTCAAGGGAAAAAGAGTGCAACGCGTGCCTTCAGGCCTAAAGATTATATCGTTCTTTGATGATTGCCTGCAAGTGTTAGTTCGTAATGTAAATAAATAAAAGGAAATAAATGGGATCGTACCTTAGCAGTAGTATCGCTTCAAGTGAGTTATGTTCTAGTTGTTGGGTAGTTGCTCACCGTTCATTGTTCTGA